TGTTATGTTTTCTTTGTGCATGTAGACATATGAATAAATTCATAAGTGTCTTTAGCCAATTATTTTGATTTACATAATTTGGGTTCAGAAACTGCAGAGATGTTACAATGATCGTATGATATAATAATAATAATAATGACTGAAATGGGAAACCAAACTTGTGAAATTCAATAGGTGGCGATAATGCTAAAGAGTTAGTTACCATATATGGTTTGCCTAAATCGTGTGTCCTAGATTGTGTGTGCCTAAAACGTGTGTGGTTCTGCGGGCCTGCAGCTGGATATATCTCCAAATCGCGCGCCAAATGCTCCGCCCTTTGACCGTTAAAGGAGCGGTAACGTTTAAAAATACTCTAATGAATAATGTGGATAATTTTGATTAATCGTGAAATTAGTCAAATAGAAATGCAAAATTTCACTTCTTTGTTGAGTAAAACATGCTAATAAATGATAAGGGCATACATACATTTAGAAAAGAAAAAATCTATCTTTTTTAAAGATTGGTCAATCAATCATATGCCTCAGTTATAAGCAGGGCCAGACGGAATCTGCGGATGTTTTTTGCTATTTCTGCGGAGAATTTTGGTAAAAATTTGCGGATTTCTGCGGAATTATTATGGGAGTATCCAGCGGATTATCATAACTTAAACCTTAATATATGAAATAAAAAGTAATAAATGACTGAATAAAAACTAAATAAATTCAGATTTACACATTTACTCAAGTAAATAAACAGAATTAATAATGGGCTAAAAATCTGCAGAATTCTGTGGTAAATCTGTGGAAAAAATGCGGAAAATCTGTGGAATTCAGCGCGTGCAGATTCCGTGTGGGCCTAGCTATAAGGCAAAATTAGAGACTAAATTTGATTTATTTTTGTAAATGTAGTTAACAGTCAACACAATGCCACAATTTGTGGTAATTTTTTATAAAAAAAATTTTTAAAAACAAAACCTAAATACATTATAGATTTAGCTTTGAAGACTTTGACTCGCTAATAAAAATCTATCCTCCATTGGTTAAAAATCATTACAAAAGTATTTTCCTGATCAGAGTTCACCAAAATTGTAAAATGTTAAAACTTCTTTACGCATACATTCTTATGATTTAAGTCATATTTTTTTAACCACAAAAACAAAAATGTACATATATTTATTAAATATATTAGTTTTAATTTGATATGATGTTGTCTTGTTTTAAGAAATATGCCAAAATTAAGAGAGATTTTCTTTAAAACCAGCAAAGTAATCTCAGGATGAAAGGAAAAACAAGATTATTTTGCTTATTTTATGGAAAATCTCACTTAATTTTGGCATATTATTTCTCAAAACAAGACCATATGTTTTGCTTGTCTAGAAAATGCTACTTGATTTAAGAATTGTTAGATATTTGGACTAGAAACAAGATAAATAAGTAAGAAAAGCATTTTTGCAGTGCACTCGCTACAACTGATGTCTTGCAGAAGAGCATTTCTGAATGCACAACACATCCAACCTTGAGGCAGATGGGCTACAGCAGCAGAAGACCACACCGGGTGCCACTTTTGTCAGCTCAGATCAGGAAACCATGGCTACAATTTGCTCGGGCTCACCAAAATTGGACAATAGAAGATTGGAGAAACGTTGCTGCTCTGATGAGTCTCCATTTCTGCTGTGACATTCGGATGGTCGGGTCAGAATTTGGCCTCAACAACATGAATACATGGATCCATCCTGCCTTGTATCAATGCCTCAGGCTGGTGGTGGTGGTGTAATGGTGTGGGGGATATTTTCTTGGCACACTTTGGGCCCATTAGTACCAATTGTACTAATGTCTATGTCACAAAGGATTAATACAGTTATCAAGGCAAAAGGGGGCCCAACCTGGTATTATTAAGTAAGTAGTAAGTGTACCTAATAAAGTGGCCGGTGAGTGTATATCATATTTCTATAGGGTACTGAGAGAAACAGCTTTACAAGAAAGGAAAAACATGATATTCATTTTTACACCAAGATATATGATCAATGTACAATGTTTTTATTAATCTGATAAAGGCATACATTGAAAGTGAAATCAGTCGTTTTCTTGTAGGATTACAGTAATATACACAATCTGTACATGGTTTACTTCCAGAAACTATTGAATCAAACCATAAAAATCAAAGAAACCAGAAACAAAGGCTGTCATTATTACCATTAAACATAATGCGAGTGTTCAAGATCTTTTTAAAGCTGCGTAAAAACCACGAAACGTCGTAATATTGTGTTTGCACCATCCGTCCATCGACACAAAAAGCTTCATGAAATATATTGGCAAACAAAAAAAAAGCGCTGGCACTCATCAGGCTATTAAATCTGCCATCGGCGATGCCAGTCCAGAAAAGCCCCCTCCAACTGGTGCCCGTAACTGTGTATACATGTAAACAATGATATTAATATTACAGCATATAAATGATGTGATCGTTTAGACCTGATGAAGAGTATTTCAAACATTCACGTTTTGCTCTGCCGCTTCTACTCGACTACATCATATCAAAAACCATGAATCTGATCAAAACTAAGAAGGACCAAAGAGATTAAATCCACGCTTCAGTTTGGTTTCTTGCTCAATTATTATTAGAAATGTTTGTCACATGCACTCGCTGTTCTGAACAGACATCTACCTTGGCTTTTATACACAAATATACATCTGGTTGTTAAAGGGGATAGTTCACGCAGAAATTAAAATGTACAGAAATCTGTCATTATTTACAATCTCAACTCGTATGATGCTTTACACCTGTTTGACTGACAGAATATAACTTATTTTGCAGAATGTGTAAGTGAAAACTCCTACAGAAAACAACAAATATCAGGAAATGTATGGAATAAAATAAAGCAGTGTTATTAAATAAAGCTTTAAAAAGCAAAACCTCATTCAGTTTCTTTTCAGCTTCGTCTCTTTATTTATCAAGGGTCGCCACAGCGGAATAAACCGCCAACTTATCCAGCATATGTTTGACGCAGTAGATGCCCTTCCAGCTGCAACCCATCAATGGGAAACATCCATACATACTCATTCACACTTATACACTATGGACAATTTAAACTACCCAATTCACATGTACCGCATGTTTTTGGACTTGTAGGGGAAACCGGAGCACCCGGAGGAAACCCACACCAACACGGGGACGCAAAAACACAATTATATAAAATTAAAAATCATATTAAATGGTTTTAAAAAAACAATTACTTGATTTCTTCGGTAAAACTAAATTATTAATTTTGATGGAGGTCTAAGCTGCTCTTTGTAAGTCAGTGATAGGTATAAATTAATTAATTAATTAATTAAAAAAAAAAAAAAAAAAAAAAAATATATATATATATATATATATATATATATATATATATATATATATATATATACACATGTATTAATATAAATAATAAAGTTTATATAAAATAAAAAGATTGCAAAACACCATAAAAATACAAAAAAAAAATTATTAAAAAAAGCTTAATTAGCATAACATTAACTCAAAATACACCATTTAATAAATGGATTTATAATTTAAAATGAAATAAAATATAATTGAACAAAAAACCAGAAAAACAAGCGAAAAAAACATAAAGAAAATCATCAGAGCCAATTTAAAAATAAAAATGATCAAATAAACCAAAGCTTAAATACATATACATATATATGTTTAATACTTAAATACATACACACTACCTGACAAAAGTCTTGTCGCCTATCCAAGTTTTAGGGAAAACAAATAATAACTTGACTTCTAGTTGATCATTCGGTAGAAGTGGCTTATATGAAAGGCAAATGCCTCTAGATCAGTGGTTCTCAAACTTTTTTCATCAAGTACCACCTCAGAAAAAAAATTGTCTCTCCAAGTACCACCAAAAATGAGCAGAATTGAAATACAGTAGCGTAGTAGGCCCAGTAAAGCAGCTACAACTCTGCACAGTTAAAACAACGTGGCAGATTACCTCAGAAATATAGGCTATATTTATAAATGGCATATTATATGCATAATTTTTGAGAAATTTTTAAATGTGTGTAGCATGAACATGACATATTTCATTCCTCCGCGTACCACTAGAAGGAAGCCTGCGTACCACTAGTGGTACACGTACCACAGTTTGAGAACCACTGCTCTAGATTACGCTTATTTGACCACAATAAAATATGATCATGCCTTAATTTTTAATTGTTTAATCACGACAGTAAGGTTTAACTCTGCTTAGACTAAAGTCTTGTGACTGAACAGAAATAATGTCCAGTATAGAATATAAAGTCCTGCTGCAGTGGAAACAGAATGAATATTGTGTCTGACTCCATCATGAGCTTGGAGGACTGCATCCATACATCTCTGACATGACTCAAATCACTGATTAATAAAGTCACCTGGAATGGCAAAGAAAGCGTTCTTGCAGGACTCCCAGAGTTCATCAAGACTCTTTGGATTTATCTTCAATGCCTCCTCCTTCATTTTATCCCAGACATGTTCAATAATGTTCATGTCTGGTGACTGGGCTGGCCAATCCTGGAGCACCTTGACCTTCTTTGCTTTCAGGATCTTTGATGTGGAGGCTGAGGTATGAGCAGGAGCGCTATCCTGCTGGAGAATTGTCCCTCTCCTGTGGTTTGTAATGTAATGGGCAGCACAAATGTCTTGATACCTCAGGCTGTTGATGTTGCCATCCACTCTGCAGATCTCTCGCACACCCCATACTGAATGTAGACCCCAAACCATGATGTTTCCTTCACCAAACTTGACTGATTTCTGTGAGAATCTTGGCTCCATGCGGCTTCCAGTAGGTCTTCTGCAGTATTTGTGATAACTGGGATGCAGATCAACAGATGATTCATCAGAAAAATCCACCTTCTGCCACTTTTCCAAATGATCAACTAGAAGTCAAGTTATTATTTGTTGCTCTTACATCTGGAATCCACAACAAGAATTTTGTCAGGTAGTGCAGATAAATTTATGTCATATAAACAAAAACTAAATATATAAACACTTAAAAACACAAAGTAAAATTATGTAAAAACACAAAAGTTTTCCAATATTCAATGTAATAAAATATAAAATAAGTACAAATGTGCAAAAATAAAACAAAATAGAGCTTAAAAAATGTATCTGTCTTAGTTTAGTCTATAAATTAATATATATAAACTAAAAAAAGTTAAGTTAAACAGGTTTAAAACAACATGAGCGTGAGTAAATGACAGATTTCTCCATGTCTGGTGAACTATCCTCCTTTAGGACTCGTGTGTGTGTGTTTTGGGCTCTGTGTGTGTGTCTAAAGCACGCAGCTGTCAGTGCAGTCAGTGGTGCTGTCGTCGGTGGATCTCTTCCTGAGCTCTCGGCCGGATTTGTGTTGGTGTTTGTGCTGCGGGACGTCCTGCTGCTGCTCCTCCTCCAGCCGCTGCACTTGCAGATACGCTCGCACGCGGTGGTGACGCAGCTTACTGTCGCTGAAGTCGATGACGCGGCATTCGTACGTGCCCTCGTCCGACGGCTTCACACTGGATAGACGCAGCTTATGGGAAATGTTGCTTCCGGCCACTTTCACCACCTGTGGAGAAACCGAAAAAAAACACTAGTCAGGGCATTAAATCACGAATCAGGAGCAAAACACGCTGATTCAGAATGAACGCCGACTGATTCGGGATGAACAGTTGGTTAAAAAGATGTACTGGGTTTCAGAAAATATGACCAAGAGCAGCTTTTGGGGACATTTAAGCAACATGGGCTCATTGGAAGTATTTTGTGTAATGCTTGTGATGCAGAGCGCTCAAATCAGGAATGCAGCAATGTAAAATAAAGGTAAAACTATGGTCGCAGTGGACTTTTCTTGTACTTTTGCTTTTGAAAACAGTATAGTTTGGGTTTGGAAAAAACATGCATCTAAAACTACATCAGTAGAGGCAATGAAATGCAGCATTAGATGCAATGAAAAGCAGTGTGAAAGTGAAATGTGTCAATAGAGCCAATGAAGTGCAACAGTAGATCCAATAACGTAGTGAAATCTAATAGTTGATGCAGTAAAATGCAGTAATGGAGATGAATGCATAAATAGAGGCAGCGAAATGCAGCATTAGATGCAATGAAATGCAGTAATAGGGTAAAGTGCATTGGTATAGGCAGTGAAATGAAGCATCAGATGTCATGAAATGTAGCAATAAATCAAAATACATTATTAGAGGCAGTGAATTGCATCAGTAGCGGCAATAAAATGCAGTAACAGAGTAAAATGCAGCAATAGAGTAAAATGCATTAATGGAGACAGTGAAATGCAACAGTAGAGGCAGTGAAATGCAGCCTTAGATGCAATAAAATGCAGTAATAGAGTAAAATGCAGCAGTAAATGCAGTATAATGCAGTAATAGAGTAAAATGCAGCAGTGGACACAGTGAAATGCAGCAGTAGAGGCAGTGAAATGCATTCATAGTGTAAAATGCATCAGTAGAGGCAGTGAAATGCAGCAGTAGATGCAGTCGCATGCAGTAATAGTGTAAAATGCATCAGTAGAGGCAGTGAAATGCAGTGATAGTCTAAAATGCAGCAGTAGATGCAGTGAACTGTAGTGATAGGGTAAAATGCATCAGTAGAGGCAGTGAACTGAAATAGAGGATGCAGTGAAATACAGTAATATATTTAAATGCATCAGTAGATGCAGTGAAATGCAGCATTAGATTGAAATGCATCAGCTGTGGTAGTAAAATGCATGAATAAAAGCAATGAAATGCAGTAAAGATTGTAAAAAGCATTAGTAGAGGCAGTGAAATGCGGCAGTGAATGCACTGAAATGCACTGATAGAGTAAATTCATCAGCAAAGGCATTAAAATGCAGAATTAGATGCAGTGAAATGCAGTAATAGAGTAAAATGCATCATTAGATGCAGTGAAATGCAGGAATAGAGCAAAATGGATTGATAGAGGCAGTGAAATGCAGCAGTGGATGCAGTGAAATGCAGGAATAGAGCAAAATGCATCAGTAGAGGCAGTGAAATTCAGCAGTGGAGGCAGTGAAATGGAGTAATAAAGTAAAATGCATCATTAGATGCAGTAAAATGCATTAATAGATGCAGTGAAATGCAGAATTAGATGCAGTGAAATGCAGTAATAGAGTAAAATGCATCAGTAGAGGCAGTGAAATGCAGTGATGAAGTAAAATGCAGTAATAGAGTAAAATGCATTAATAGATGCAGTGAAATGCAGAATTAGAAGCAGTGTAATGCAGTAATAGAGTAAAACGCATCGGTAGAGGCAGTGATATGGAGCAGTTGATGCAGTGAAACACAGTAATAAAGTAAAATGCAGCAGCAGAGTCAGTGAAATGCAGTGAGGGAGTGAATGCATTATTCTGCATGTGTGCTGTGATGAGGTGGAGCTGTGGAAACACACGAGAGACACATTCACAGCTCTCTCTTTCCTTCTCTCTCTGTCTCTGAATCACAAAACAATAGGACAATCTCTCTTTCTCTCTCGTTCTCTCTGTAAAGCGGTCAGTTTTCCCAGAGGAGCTGAGGCGCGGGCCCAGACGCTCGATAAAGCCGTCTGCCGGTGCAGCAGATTGAGTGTGGATCAGGTGGATAAATAAACATACATTCACCAGCACACACATGCACACGCGGACATTAACTCCACTCGCTGGCGCCGCTAACACTGCGCTACATATGCTGAGAGTGTTAACAAACAAACAATCACTTCGGCTTCTCCACGATCACAAATAAGTTCACAGCTAAAGCGCAAGTGTTGAAAAGCATGCTGGATCCGTCCCGCTGCACCTCACTGAAGCTCAGACTCACAGCTCGCCTTCACACTGCAAGCAAATGTCCTTGTGAATATTTTATGGAGGAGCAGAGAGAGGAGCTTTGATTTATCCACCCACACAAACACACACATACACACTCACACACACAGAGACTAGTTCATATATCCCGGTGGGGACTCTCATAGGCGTGTAATGATGTTTCTGCTATACAGACTGTGTGTTCTCTAGCCCTACACCTAAAGCCAGCCCTCACAGGAAACAATCTTGTTCATGTAGGATTCTACATCCTGTGTGATTTATGAGCATGCTTGTCGCAATTTTAGTCCCCAC